AAAAGCTACATAACAAGCAACAATGCCAGACAGGCGATACCTTCTTTTGAGTTGTTGGCCAGGGTGACCAAAGGGACTCCCAAATAGTAACCCAGCATAGAACTGGGAAAATGAACAGCAGACCCTAATCTTATCTAAAGGAGTATTGACAACTGATTACTGATAGAAGAGGAACAGCTGACCCTCCTAAAACAAAGACTTCTAGATACGCTGACTAGATTCGCCAGAAGGGCAAGTAGTGGGGATTGGCTGGGGGTGCCGACAACACAGCAGACAGTAGCAGGGATATCAGAGTATAAGGGCTCTAGTGGGGGGAGGGAGGCTATGGGAGGGTGCCATCTGGGAAGTGAGTATATAGTTGAATAAGATGGTTTGGGATGTTCTGTGTGATATATACACACAAAAAAAAATCAACAAATTTTTTTAAATGTATTATATTTGAGGAGGAAGCATGGAAATTTATGTCATGCTAATGAGTAGAGGTAATAAACAATACCACTGAAATCTGCCCGATGACTTTATAGATATACACAGGCACCAAGGATCCAAGTGCAACCGATTATGACTGGTAATAATCAGATACATACAGATTAGAGATGCAAGCGCCAACATCTCAGTGTTAGCAAAAACAATGAGTCTGTCTGCAAGGAACAATATATTCTAAAATGAAATGGAGATCTTTTTTAAAGGTTAAAAACTCATCCAATTTTATGTCTTACAGGGCTTATACTGAGTTCAATAATATATAACAAAATAATTCAACTGTGAACCTAGAAACTTGCACCCACTTGTGAAAGAGATGTACTGTTGCTCTGGAGTGTGTTACTGAATATGTTAAAGCTATAGTGAAAAGCTTCTAATCTTGTAGTTATTAAATTTTTTTTAAAAAAGGAAAAAAAAGTGAATCAAATGAGGATTAAAAAAACAGGGTCCAAGGAAGCCTTCTGGAGACACCTGGGGACCCAGGCTGGGCACACTGGCAGGGAAGAAAGCAGTGTGAACAAGCACAGGCAGGAACTACTGGTTGCTAGGCAGTCAGCCCAGCTGATGGGTGGGCAGCTGAAGACAGCCAAGGTTATACACACAGTTCCAAAGTGAAAATCCTGTACCTCTGAGTCCTCTGAGCTGGGCATAGTAGTGCACACCTTCAATCCCAGCAGAGGCAGGGGGATCTCTGGTCTACATAGAGGTCAGCCTGGTCTACAAGGTGAGTTCCAGGCCAGCTGGGCTGCAGGGAGGCTGTCTCAAAAAAAAGGTTTCTGGGGTCCCCATTACAGCTGGTGATAGGTGGTAGGTACAATGACATATAACAGGTACAGAAAGAAGCAAGACATAGCTGGGCAGAGGTGACCAGGTGAGCTATGGTCCAGGCTCCTTCAGTGGGTCAGCACCCCCAGAAAAAGGATGCCCCACGGGTGCGCTCAACCCAGAATCCTGGCAAGAATGTTGGTGGAGACCATGCCCTTCTTCACCCGAAGTTGAGAGAGGGTTAAGATGAAAAATGATCACAGGATCCTTACAGTGGCCTGAGAAACCAAAGCAGGAGCTGACCAGATGATATGGAGCTCCAAAGAACACGCCCTCTGTTCCTCGGTTTGCAGAGCACAAGGCTTCTTTCCATTTTGAGATGTGGCCACCAACCTTCCCACCATCAGGCCATGACCAGACTCTGAGTCTACTAAGGAAGCAGTGGGGCACGATGCAACTTCTCAAGCAGAGCAGAGCAGGATTTAAAGAGCCATGCTCAGAAGGCAGGTTTCATTTACCCTGTGAGCCCAATCAGTCAGTGACAGCAATGACTGCAAAGTGTCTTGCTGCCTACCTCCGCTGACGTGTCTGAAACGCTGCTGCTGCCGCTATCTCCCTCATTTGGCCTCTCCCGCAGTCCCACAGCAATGGTCAAGGCCATGAGCCCAATGGATTGGAATGGATCCACCCCAGCTGTATCTGTTCCCTATATCCTGATAAATTGCCACCCTTGCTGGTCATCCCCATAGCCATTTCCCCCACATAGCTGGGTGATAGGAGGGCAGCCTCCAGACAGCCTCTGCTGGTCCATCGGCCTGGAGTTCTATCTGTAGTCAGATGTGGGGCCTTTCATGTTCTGCCAGATTTTCCTAGGTGTTAGAGGGTGTGCCGCTGCTAAGTCCTGAGCGAGGCCATGGAGGTAGCAGACGCAGGGCAAGCAGGTCCTGCCAGTCCTTCTTGGTAGCAACCTGATCCAGCATTCCCTAATGCAGGGGTTACCTCATCTGACCCCTGGTGGAGCCGCCTACCCCTCTACCCCTGTCTTCACCACTTTACTGCAGCTCAGAAGTCAATTATGCAATCCAAATGGACTTGAAGCCAACACACTATAAACACTCTAGTGGAACTAACTGCTTGCTGGGTGGAAAGCAAGGCTCACATGCACGTGTGCAGACCTATACACACATAGATACACACAAACTCATACTGTCTCATGCTCTCCTGCCCAGGTTCCAGCCCACAGCACCACTCTTGAGTCAATACAAAGGAGAATTCTGAATCATTCATCTGCCTCAGGCACAACCATCAGGCCAGGTACTACACTCAGCCTCCTCTGGCTGGCACTGCCTTGGCTCTGGCGTCCATCATGTCTCTAATACTGCACCAGGGTCTGAGTAGCAGATGAGGGAAAGCCTGATACTGGCCATGGAGAGCTTGAAAGCTGGCCCAGTCTAGGGAGGATGATATCATTGCTGCCACATGGCCAGCACCAACATTCCACATTACATTATGTAGCCATTCCTTAAACATTAAAGGCTCAGGAGCCCCCGTTCCTCCAAGAAAGCCAAACACCCAGGGAAGAGGAGACAATCTGCTTTCCCAACCCTTCTATGGGACCCAAATGGTGCTCTCTAAGGAGGGTGGGACCCAGCTCCATGTGAGGCAGTTGTCTGTGCCTGTTTCCAGGGAATGCCAGAATTGGGCCTCAGTTCCCTGAGCCCACAGTCCTCTCAGTCTGGTCCGTCCTGAGTTCTGATGGTCACAGTTGTGGCTTCTCCCATCATCACATCTACTGTAGGTTCCACTTCACAGACATCCAAGACCAGGTGAGGGTTATGTTGTAGAGTGATGAGGGAACCCTGAGCACCTACCTCAAACACAGCAAAGTCCTAGGTACAGGGATAGTATGACCTCTTACCTGGGACACTGCCTTCTGTGAGACCCGGTGGCCTAAGAGGCATATACAGGACTGAGCACAGAACTACAACCAAATGCCCACTCCAGGGCTACTCCCTTCTTGTCACCCCAGAAAAACCTGAGGAAGTTCAACTAACCCCCACACGTCTCCCTGCCTTAGCCTGGAAGTGTGGACAGAGATGCAGAGGACAGTCGGGGACAAAAGAAAGAAAGGGCAGCTCCTGGGCTCTGTCAGTCACCCTCATTTATGACTAAAATACCAGATCCTGACAGACCACAGGACAAGGGGTAGGGCCTGCTTGCCCTACTATAGGGTCCTGACTCAGACATCATCCTAGTGTTCACCCACAGAGTGTCCACCTACAGAGCCACACAATCTTCAGTGTCACCTGACAATGTCTCCTCCCCATCTGCCACACAGGAAAACATCTGCCTGTCTGAAAAAACAAAACAACAACAACAACAACAAAAAAACCCAAATCCAAGCCCACTACCTCATTTACCAGGCACACCTGTCACCTTGCCTGGCCCTTCCCTGGCCTTGGAGAAATAAGAATTTCAGGGTCAGTCACAACCTAAAGCTGACCCTGTCCTAGGGAGAGCTCCTCCAAGGCCTACCTACCTCAATCCCTAACAGGCACTTGGCTACACACTGTCCTACCCCAGGTACTTGCTGGAATCTATGTCAGAGCCACCTCGTCCCCTGGCTCTATCTTGTGGAACTGACACTGGGTCAGCCAAGCTCTCCCCAGACACTGTACGGTTTCTTAATTCTAATACCCACTCACAAAAGCCTCTGGAACATCACAGCTTTACGCTGTTCTGCTGGCCCAAAACTGTGTTTCAAGGTTGCAGCAGACATAGACTAGGCCAGTTGAAAGGTTAAAAGTCCCATCTCAAGTGAGTTATGACCAGTCCTTTAGGGACCATAACCCTAGTCTATTCTAAAGGAACACAGTCCCTTCCCCCAGTTTCCTCCAGGGCAGAAGCACCAGAACCCTATACACCACAACCAGTGGTCCTGAAGAGGTTTTCTTGTTGAAAAGGCACATTTAGTTTTGAGATTCAACATGCCCTCACCTTGCAGCTCCCCTAGGAGGGCATGGGGCTCGGGGAATACAGGAAGATTAAGGGAGCAAACATGCCTTGTCCAAGCCACAGACACCAGAGTGTTTCACAAAGGTGAGCTCAGAAGCAGATAGGGAAAAATCAAAGTGGTTAGACAAACCCCTATGTTACCCAGGACAAAGCAACAGCACAGGTTAGCATATGTCAACCCATGACAGGGTACTCACCAGAAGGAATGTGCAGGTCCAGTCCCCTCTGTTTACTCATCAACTCGTACTGGAAGCCCGTGGTCCTCCTGCTGATGTCCTGTTGGGGTGTTGCCTCCACAAACAGGCCACCCTGCTCTAGGCCAAAGCACTGCACCCGGCCAGGTTCACCACCTTTGTCCTGTACCAACAGTCTCAGTTCTCCAGTTTTTTCCAAATAAATATTGGCCCCTGAGGAGTCCCTGAAGGGCTTGATGCACACAGTCAGGTTCCGGACAGGTGAGAAGGTGTTGGGCCTCAGGTTGACAATGAGTGCCCCAGTTGGGTACATCCACTCCACAGAGCCTGCCGAGCAGCGCAAGTACACCTGCTCCACCTCCTTGCTGTGTGCTTCCCGGGTCAGCCCACTGTGGGAAGAGGAAGGGGACAGCATCAGTCAGAGGCGCAGAGTGCAGAGAGGAGGCTGCCGACACCCCTCACACAGCCCCACCCAGGGGAGTACATGTGATGGTGACACCTGTTGTGACCACTCACACTCCCTGACACGTGTTCAGATGCCCACCCCTCTCAACTGCCAGCAAGCCTACTACAAGAACGAAGCTGAGCCAGGCCACAGCTCTGACGGTGCAGGCTACACTGCTCTCCAGACCCTAGATGTATGGGGTCTGTATAAGTCTCAGCAGGCTCTTTGGCCAAGGCGCCAGGATCTGGGTGCTTCCAAAGCATCCAGGAAAGCAGGCCAGGAGGACATGGTATCAGCTGAAGTTTCAGACTGCGCAAAAAACGAGGATGAGGCTCACGTGTATCGATTGATGTCATGGGTGCAATGCACATGTAGCAATAACGTGCTCCAGAAAACAGCTTCCAAAGCAGCTGGAGGAGTTAGCCACAGAGAACAAGAGATTCCAACTTTCCTGAAGCTGATGATTTGACAATTTTACATTCATTTCTAAGCCTGAAGTCTCTAGATCACTAATCATAATTTAAAAAATAGAAACAAGTGCCATTAAAACAAGATTCATTGTAAGAGCGAAGGAAACATTCCTGGGGCAGGGCTTGGTGCAGGGATGAGAGGGCAAGGCCTTAGGACCAGGATTCCTAACACAGCAGGGTGATGCCGAGCTTCATCAGAGGAAAGGCTATTGCTGTATGCTGCTCCCTGGGTGAGCTACTATTGTTTTCAAAAAATTGAAACCACCAAAAAAAATGCAGTTTCCTCCAGCTCAAAATTGTAATGCAGATGTCAGCTTGTCACCACGGTTACGTCATAACCACAAGTGGATCTGGAAAGAAACCAGTGACTTCAGCTAAGAGTTCTATTACTTGAGTTTGGTTCTGATCAGATCACAGACAGGTTCACCCACATTCTTAGGGTTTTTATGCAAAATAAACAAGGCTATATCCAGAGCCTAGCCTGAGTGAGTTTCCAGAATCCTTTCCTGCAAGGGAGAAAATGTGTAACACATGGCATACCTTTACTGCTGGTGACTCATGCTTCCGGCCGTGAAACCTCACTTTGTATACAAGGGCTGCTGCAGGCCAGGGCTATAAGTCACATCAGAGAGAAGCATTGTGGGTGAACCCCCTCCTGACTGGGCCCCCACCCCTACAAGGCCCTGGGCCAGGAGCAACCAGCCTGTAGGCACTCCTCAGGACAGACATGAAGAATAAACTTACAAATTACAGTCGGTAAAACTCACACAAGCTCATCTGACACCTATGTAGGGATGGGCATAATTACAGTGCTATGTGAAAATTAGACTAAATGGTGAGTGGCTGATACACATGGCTGTAATCAGCTCTTTCCTTATGCTGCCAATGAAAACCTAATCGTAGTGTTTCTTCCTCCTGCCTCCAGCATCAAGGAGCAGCTGACACTTCTACCAGTTTGAGGTACAAACCTCAACTCTCTCCCATATAAAGCACCCAGCCTGAGGTTTTGCTTCCCTCTCAGAGAGTCCTAAGGGTCAAGAGGCTGGAATCCCCACTGCAGAGGCTCTGTGGGCCTCAGAGCATTTAGCATCAGCACAAGAACATAAGACAAGGGGTTCTATGTGTTCTTCCAACTGCACCTACAACTACCAGGCACCTTCAGTTGCCCTTGGTTGATCTTTGCTTTGTGGAGAGGCCCTTGAGGGAGCCTCAGAACAGGAATATGTCAGCAGTGATGAAGAAGGCTCAAGGGGATAAAAGGGAAGACTGCCTTCTACCCACAACACAGGCAGATGCAGGGGAAGTAGAGGGGAAGACCTGTGTCTGGGGGCCGTGTCTCAGCAGCCACATGCATCATGTGGTGGCCACCTGGCTCCACTTAATCAAAAGGAGCAAAATGAGAGTAGACTCACAGAAATGGGTGCCTGTTAGCTCACCTGTACGCATGCCCTCACTAGCCAGGTGCCCATCTCAGGACAAGTAACAGTCTTCCCTCACATTCCCATAAAACATCCAGGTCAGCAAGAATATGGCCAGGAGCTCAGCATAGGAGCTTTTACACCAAAATCAGTGTGATGCACAAGGCAACTGTTTGGACAAGCAGGAACTAAAGTGAAGGGACCCTCACCCTGGGACCAGAGAGGTCTTCCCACTGGACCGCCTAGTACCCTAAAGCTCGCATTCTAAATATTCATCACAAGTGCACCTCAATGACCACTGCTGATAGGACTTTACCATCCTTGTCATGAGATACAGTGGATACATCAGCTTCACAAAAGTAACCATGTTACACTGCTGTGATGAAGCTACTTGTAGACAGAAGTGTTCCAGTTTATGCTACAAAACTGAAAAGGCTGATTTGAGATTAAACTGAATTAATGCTCTCTCTCGCTCTCTATGCCTCTCTCTCTATCTCTCTCTCGTGTGTGTGTCCATCCTGGGGAGCAAACGCAGGGCCTTGCTCATGCTAGGCAAGCACTATACCACTAGACCACTGAGCCATATCTCCAGTACAATGCAGTGGTTTCTTTTTTTTTTTTTTTAAGTCAGCAAGGCTCACTTCCCAGGTGAACACACATTTGAGTGGCTTTATGAGAAAAAGTGTAAATTCCAGGTAAATTGATGTAAACAGAGCTCGTTTGGGCACACATCTCACACCCACAGGTCAGCCAGTGAGACATGAGGATCTCTGTTAGGGCTTTGGATCCAGCAAAAGCAAAAGACTCTGCTGCTAAGTTTTACCTTTTATTTCCTCCCTTACAAGAGAGCCCAGGTGTGACCATACCTGCTATGCCCTGGCAGATAAGGGTGGGGGAGTTCATGGTCCACCTTTATGGGATTTCAAAATTTCCAACTTAATTGCTTGGAAACACCTAGAAGCCTGCACCAGTCAAATGTGAGCAACTAGGGCTAGGAAGGCAACTCCCTTCCTATAGAGGCCAGAACCCAGCATTCTGAGGCTTGTTCACCTGGTGCTGTCCCCCACCCCTTGTAAAACAAAAAGTCATAAACAGTGAGTAGCAATCACACCACACCAGCATGCTGTAGTCAGCTGACCTGTGGAGCTGCTGATAAGTGGGGGCTACAAGAAGAGTCTCAGGCATTCTCCCCATCCCACCTACCGCTATCGGGTGCCTTCAGCTGCTCTCTGCCAGGCTCTGCCTTGGGAGAGAGGCCCTTGAAGGAGTCCTGTGTTGGTAGTCATGGAGGAGGTGGCCCAGGTAGACATAAAGGTTGCCCAGAATCTGGACACCCCCAACTGCTGACACCTATTGGAGGCTCTGGCCTGACTCCAGTGGTGGAAGGTTGACCTCCCAGCTAACCTCACCAGATCCCTGGACTCTGGGGAAGGTGGCCTTTCACTCACACAGTCTTCTGGGAACCTGGAAAGTATCTGAGAACCCTACTCACCAGCAGGGGCAGGGTTTCTGATTTGGGTCTGCCAAAGCAGGACACCCCAAGACCTGGGGTTAGGGCACATTGATTGAGCAGTGCAGGCTGTGAGCAGGGAGCTAATTACCATCGGGGAAAGGGCAGCTCCAGAAGAGCTCAGCATCAGAGGCTCATGGCCAGCTCTGTGCTGGCGCCAGCATTCCCGAGGCCAGCCCTCCCCCAGAGCTCCATCCGCCCTTGTCGGTCCCAAGCTCCTCTTGAGTCCCTGCTCTGCCAGGCAGGAGGGATTTCTGCTGGAAAGAGAGAGAGCAAACTCCCAGAGAGGAGGTGCAGTGCTCTCAGGAGCCAGGGCTCAATTTTCCAGTCCAAGCACTCTAACAGGAGCCTTGGGGAGGGGTGGATTGTGGTCTCTGTGGTTTCCTCAGAGATCTGGGCACCATAAGAGTCCAAGACAACCAGCGGTGCCCTGCTGACTCAGAGCCTGGGCACCGCTCAACCCCCAGCCTTCTCGGAAAACCGTCTTTACCAAGTCACCCTACACACACACACACACACACACACACACACACACACAATCTTCCCCCATGAGCGATCAGCGCTGAGGTCTGCACAGCAGATCAGATCCTGTACCCCGACCCGCGCCGCCCTACCCACGGGATGCCCCAAACCAGACCCAGATGCAGCCCCGGCCTACGTTTTCAGAGGAGACGAGCTTGCTGCTGCGCAGGGCGCCCGGCAAACCGCTGAACTGGCAACTTCCAGCTCGCAAACCGGCTACACCGCGCAGCCAGGGGGCCGGCCGCGCCCCCGGGGTCCGGAGTAGCTGCGGCTCCCCAGATACCCCGCCCGCGCACACTTGGGGCTTGTGCTCCTTTCTTATCACACTTAAGTTAAAACTACCACGAAAAGTCCTCGGCTGTCACAGCAGGCCGGGGCCGGGGTGGGGGGGTGTCGCCGAGCCACGCGCGCCGATACCAAGGGCGGCCTGACCTTCACCAGCGGCCGCGAGTCCTGCCCGGCTGCACTGGAGAGCACAGGTGCCGCCCTCCTCCAGTGGCCCCGCGGACTTGGCTGGCGCTGCGGGACCCCGCGGACCCCCGAGCCACCGTGGTCTCAGCGCCCAGGCTGTCCCTCCTCGCAGTGCCCGGCACGGGCCCGGCTGGTTCCGAGGGTAGAAAACCCGAACCCCGGACCACCGAACCTGCTCCCCGCCGCGGCCCGCGGAACCCGGGGGACCCACGGGGACTCAGACCAGCGCGCGGAGAGCGGGCAGCAGCAGCCGGCGCGCCTCCCCCGGGCGTCCCCGGGACCGGACCTGGACGCCACAGGCTCTTGTTCCGGAACCCGGGCTGGGGCGGGGTGGGGGGGGTCACCGGACTAGGCCGGCCCCGCAGCCTCCGGAACCCGCTGGGGCGGGGTGGGGGGGGTCACCGGACTAGGCCGGCCCCGCAGCCGCAACCCCGCCGCCCCCAGCAGCTAGCCCTCCGGGAGCCGAGCGCGCGGGTCGGGTCCAGCAAGGCTCCGCGGGAATCGCCACGAGACTCACCTCCCCTTCCAGCTGCACAGGTCGCTGGAGTACTGCGCGCCCGCGCCGCCCAGCAGCAGCAGCAGCAGCAGCAGCAGCAGCGGGGGCGGGCCGGGGCCAGGCCCGGGGCGCCGAGGCCACTGCTGCCCGGCGCGCCTCCCGGGCGCCCACGCAGCGCCCCGCATGCTTCGCCCGGGTCCGCGCCCACACGCTGAGTCCTCGACCCAGGGCCGCCCGCTAGGTGGTTCCGCGTGCCGGCTGCTCACGTAGCGCGTCCCCAGCCCATCACGCCTCGCACTGGCCGCCGGAGCCGCCGGGGCCGCACGAGTTGCAGCTACCGGAGCGCGCCCGCCGCCGCCGCCTTCGCCGCCGCAGGAGCCTCTGAGCGGGGGAGTCCCGGGACCGAGGTCCGGCTCAGCTGGGGGGCGGGACCCAGAGGCCTCCCCGCCCCCGTGCGCAGCTCCGCCCCCGCCTGGGTTCCGCCCCGCGCGCCCGCTCACCGACCTACCCGCTTGCAGTCCGCCCGGGCTCGCGGCGCCCTGGTGGCTAGCCGCGGATCCCCGGTGAGCAGCATCCCTCGGCCCAGGACATCAGGAAGTAGCCTGGGGCAGGACAAGCGAGGACGCTGCAGAGAGGAGGGTGCGAGGGGTGGGTCCACGGTCCCGGAGGAGAGCTGGGGCTGGGGCGCGGCGGCCGGGGGTGTGAGGGGCAAGGGAAGCGCGCCCGGGTGCGTCTGCTTCTGCACCCGGCTGCGAGAGGCAAAGAAACCCGAGAGAGACCCGGAGTGCTACGCTCCTAGCGCTCCTGGCCAGCTGTTGATCCCCTCTTAAACCCGACTCCTCCAGACAGCCTGAGTGGCTTCTCAGATGCAGCGGGGTCGCACTTCACCAACAGGTGTCTTCAGAGAGTTTCTGGCACACACGTCCCCCCACAAACTCATAATTTGCCTTGTGGAGTTTAGGACTCTCCCTGTGGGTAGTCAGAGCGGGCAGCTGCTTCACGTTTAGGCCCTGGACCATCCACGCCACAAAAAAGGTTTGGGGCTGGAAGGTTCTTTACAATGGGGCTTGTCCCTGGCAGTGTGGGACTTTAGCATCAGTCCATCTTGGTCCCCATTCTAGACATCGGTAGTCCCCTGCCCCCGACTTGACTGACAACCCAAACTGTCTGCGGACATTGCCAAATGCCACACACAAACAACAGTTTGCCTTATGAGAGCTCAGTTCTGGCCCGCTGAGGAGGGTTCTCTTCTAGTACCTTCCTTCTACAGGTAGCCATGTGGAAACTAACATTCAGTGGGAGAGACCACAGCAACCGCAGCAGGGTGGAACGGGGAGGCAGAGGGGCACTCTGGCTTAGAACTTGATTTAGAGGGAGAGGGCAGAGAGACAGGCACTCCAGGCAGAACCAGCACCCTTGCTCACCTGTGCTCCAAAGCCCCAAACAGAGATAAATGGTAGGAAAATTTGGGCGGGATACATTTCAGGAGGAATTTCAAGTGACTGGTGGGGATTGCAAGGTACGCCTTTCCAAGAGGCGAGGCCCAGAAGTCTAGTTGTTGGGCGGTGACTATACGCGGGGAAGGACCAGGATGGAATTATGAGTCTTCAAGACTGAGAAAGCCAGCACCATATGTAGAGTCAAGACCACTCAAAAGAGCCAGAGGAAGGGGCCTGCGAAGCTGGAAAAGACAGCTGCAGTTTAAGGATCAGTGCAGAGCAGCCTTGTGACTGAGCAGGTCTTCCTACTTGACCAAACACCCAGAGCTGGAATCCTACCTAACACATAAAATGATGTGACTCTGAGACTCGGGGCTCTGTTTGATGCTTCAGGGACACACCTGCACATTCAGAGCTTGGCAGACTACTCCACCCACCCCAAACCCTTTAGAGTATGGGCCCTACCCACATCACTGCATCCAGGGTGCAGCAGTGATATGAGAGCCAGCCGAGTGAAACCCCCAGGCAGGTGAGGAACTTGCCAATTACTCACTGTAAACTGCAGCCACTTTTTGTGTAGAAATGCTTTTTAACCCAGAACTCAATGGAGCTGAATACACTATTTGCATGTAACCCATCAGGTCTCATCTATCTTAGAAGGGCTGAGTGTCTTGTCAAAGTTCAGACCATAGAACCATGAAAGCAGGTAGGTGCAGCGTCCAGCGCAGTGAGAGCTAATGACTGCAGTCACTGACCAGGGTCTCTGGTGGGCCAAAGCTGGTTCCATCCTAGGGAACGGTGCCCTGACATTAGAATTGTAGGATGATGGGTACATGCCTATGTGCATTTGAGAAAACCAGTGGAACACAAGAGTGGACTATAATGCAGACTGTGTCCTTTAGTTTATGGCATATCAATATTGGATCATTGATTACCACACGTACATGCTAAGGAAAGGTGTTAAAAATTGTGGTAAGAAGAAGTAGAGCTATTGAAGAATCTTCTCCACATTCAACTGTTTTTTATTTATTATTATTATTTTTTATTTGTATGAGTGTATTGCCTGCATGTATCTGAGTGCACCCATGTTGCGCAATACCACGGAGGTCAGAAGAGGGCTTCAGATTCCCCTGGAACTGGAGTTAAGGACGGTTCGTAGCCACTCATGTGGATGCTGGGAATCGAACCCTGGTCCTCTGCAAGAGCAGTCAGTGCTCTTAACCACTGAGCCATCTCTCCAGCCCCTCAACTCAGTTGTAAACATAAAACCCCTCGACTCAGTTGTAAACCTAAAACAAAGCTAATTAAAAAGCCAAAACCAGGGTAGGCATCAACACTTGCCTATCAGTGCTCGTGAAAGAATCCCATAGAGCATTGAGGAGGTTGGCATTGCCTTCTAGGACCCTGATCCTCCTATAGGATCACTGAAGCAGGAATTTCCTGATTCCCATATCCCTGACCCATCAGTTAGCACAGGGTGGGGCCAGGGTGGCAGAACCAGTTCTCAGGGTTGTCACTGGGATGCTGCACTCTGCTGACTGGTGGGAGGTTTGTGCTATAGAGAACAGATCCTCGGGGCCTCCTGGCATACCTGCTGACCACTGTCCTGCAGTACAGCCACCTGCAGAGAGACCATCCCCATAGAAAGGGCTCCTGGGAGCAGGAGAATGAGGTGGGACAAAGCTGTCCGAGGCTGCCTACCAACCTTTCTACTCATAAGTCCTAGTGGGTTGACCATGAACCTACAGGGACCTCATCAGCCCCTCTGATCTTTCCCAGGGTCCCTCTTGGAAATTCTGTAAGGAAAGAACCTAAGATGTGTCATTCCAGGCTGTCAGGGAAGGGACCAGGGACAAAAATCCCAAAAGGGGTTCCAGTATCCCCCTGATGCCTCGCAGTGGGGAGGGATGGCCTCACATTGGTCCTCACAGCATTGGTACGGAGTTTGGTGCAAACCTCTGTGATAAATTCTTGGATGGAGCATCTCTGGATGGTCAGGTGTTAGGACAAGAAGATGGGGTGTGGCCTCACAAATCTGGGGACCAGAGTGACAGCTCCAGGCTCAGCTGTATATGTCTGGCCCCAGAGATTTTATGTCATAAAGCATGGGCTGGAACATTTCATGGGGCCCAACAGTGGAAAGGAGTTGCCAGGAGCAGGCTCTGTGGGACTGGACACCTCTCATCCTTTTTGAACTTAAGGGAGCATGCAGGCCCTCATGAGTGGTAGATGATGTAGCTCAGACAGCAGTACCACATTGTGGTTCCCACAGTCTGTGGTGTTGGGATCTGTTTCTGAACCTCAGTTACCTGCAGAGTGAGATAGTTCTTATTCTCAGGGTGATACAGGATTCCCAGTGTCAGCATACAGTACCTCATCCCTGGATGGGAGCTGGTAGAGTCTCTTGGACACAAGATACAGGCATTTCTCCTTTCATGGAAGGCATCACAGTGGGGGATCTCCTGTGTTTCCCCACAGTGGTGGGACTTTGTGCCACCAACACAGCTCAACAGATTGTCAACACTGGTGGGTTTTGCCTAGTCTTGAGGTTTCAGATGCATACTGATGACTATTCTGTTATACAAAGTGGCTGTCACCTGGAGCTGTCACTGAAGAGCTACCTAGAACCTGGAAGCTTCCAGACAAACATTCAGTTTTCACTAACAATGTATAATAGCTTTTCCTCTTAGCATTTGAAATCTTTGAGAAGGGTGGCCAGCCACAACCTGCTTTGCCCTTGGTATTCATGTAATAATATCTGTCCTATTGCCCTACTCAGCCCCAGCCCCCAAGTTTTCTGTCACCCTAGTATCCTCTGAGGTCACTTTTGCTGACCTTCTGGCAGGGACATAATTACCATAATTGTGGTCAAATGATGCGTGGAGAGCCAACGCTTGTAATTTAACATTTAGCAACTACAGTGAGTAGCATGTAATTACGACATGAAACAGCCCAGTGGCCTCAACTCAACAACCTTCACCTAGCTCCCCCTAACCTAATTTGCTGGCAGGTTTGCTATCTGTGAGTCAGAGAAAAGTGGGTGGAAGAGTCACAACTGGCTTGGCTGGAGCCAAGGCCTCCCTCAAGTCCTCAGAGCGAGGGCCTCAAGCCCGAGAGCCCCAGATTCAAGTGTAGGCAGAATGGCCATGTGTAACCTGAGGTGTGTCACAAAGGGGGCCCAGAAGTGCAGACAGTTGTGTGTGGAGCCTAGCAGTTCACAGCCTCAGGGACAGCAAGCTGTCGTGACCCCAGCAGTGGGCACCGGACTCCCTTGAGGCAACACACACGCAGCATCAGATAGTAGCTTTGTGGGGACACCACTCTTCCCCTAGGCAGTGGGAAGCTGATTCCCTCTAGACATTTTTGTCATGGGTTTCTGACCTTCTGGCTGGTGCCCTAAGTGACCACAGGTCTGTGTGTATGGGCCAGCTAGCCATTGCCACATGGTGGCCTCTCCATATTCCTCCCTGTTTGCTGAACTTGGTTTTCACACTCTTCCTCTTTTGCCCAATGTCCTCAGCTACTCCAGGTCCCGGCACACACACGCATATGGGGGTGGGGGTAATCCTTGCTCCTCAGTTCTAGCCATAGTGCTCAGCTTCTCCACAGCTTTTCCTGACTAGGGCAGATCTGATCGCCACCTTCACAGGTGTCCCTGCACAGCTACATCTGATGCCCTGTGTGTGCCTGAAATATCAGAACGTCATGGTAGTCAAAGTCTCTCCACCCTCCAGGAAGAGGGCAGTGTGTCTGACTTGTGCACATACACACATCCCACAAATCATGTAGGGATCACAGAGGTTACGACCCTTCAGCCTTAAACACTATCGCAGGAGCCCTGTTTACATGCACATGTTGGTACAACCCTGACCTGACTGGATCAAAGGTGCGTGTAGGGAAGGGGAACAGCATACATTATAGTCACCACTCAGGAACTGTCCAGTTTGCCTGGGCTGGG